AGAGAAATGATTTATTGCAGATACTAGCAATCGAAGAAGCTTGTGGTAGATTAGAAGAAACTAGCATGGACCGGTATATGCTACAAATGGGGCCACGTGGCCACATACAGGCCGTGATAATACTTTAATCGCGATTCAGGTCGAATTGCGCATCTTGCATCTCTAGCCACCGTTTGATGGTTTAATTAACCTTGATGATTTTACGCGGTGATCTAGCGAGAAAGCAAAAGCATTCCGCCGTTTCGATGTAATGGATCTTGCTTTCAAGCTATTTTAGTGTTTTCATGCATAGGGTGTTTAGAAAAAACGAGCACAATGAAGATAATTCTAATTTAACTTTTATCCCGTTTTATTTTTATGTAGAGAATGTATATTTCTTGAAAAAATTTTATTTCTAAATATGCTATGTTATTTGTTCTAATTTAATCTTATTGCAAAATTTATCTTTAATATCAAAATATATAAGGGTTATGTAAATGATGTTCTCTTATACACTTACGCCACTTTTCAGGATTGACATCTCTCGTATTTATTTTCGTGCAAAGTGAAAAGTGGGTGCAGTAATTGTGCAGATTTAAAATACTCGTCTTCGTCGAAGAATGAAAAAAAGATAACGCAAAATTAGGGCTGTCACAACGTAAATATAGACGACGACTTGCCGTTTCAATTCGCCTGCATTCTGTCACATCGTTCGGCTAAACGTCGCGACAGCCTGTTAGAAATAAAAAGTCGTGATATCAAAGTTTTATGATCAGAAATCGAAATATAGAAAATAAGAACTTTGTCATCTAAAAAAATATTTTGCAGCTATTAACGGATCTTTTTATTGCATTGTTTGCAAAATTTTTACATTATTTTGCGGCTTTGTCACGCGCCGTAATCGGTGCACCGAGATATTTATCAAGCATACAAGCGCATCGCCTGTCTGCATCGGCCATCTGCCTGCGGGTGTGCCATTTCCTATTAATTCATTTCGCAGATTCGCATCAGCGCGATGAGAGAGAAAGAGAGAGAGAGAGAGAGAGAGAGAGAGATTTGTGTTCTCTGACTTCCACTAATTCTGCTTTGACATCTGGAAAAATAGAAGTGCGACCAGAAACGTCATTCGTCGCCCACGATCAACAAACTGGTCAGACTTTGATCTTGAATGCTAAAACTCCAGTTGAAGCTCAGTCCTGCAAAGTCACATGATTTATTATCCTTTGTGTGAATTTCTCTATCGTCATAACGCGTGCTACCACCGATTGTTTTAGGGTGGCGTAAGATTTGGCAACGGTCATCTGATAGATGGAATTTTCACGGAACCGACTTTGGAACCGGGTTACAATTTGGTGGCGGTGGTCCCACGTGGCGCCTTGGCATTGAACGTGACCGAACTTCGTCACACGCAGAACTATCTTGGTAAGAGAAATATCATAAAAATTTGTGGCTACTGATTATAAGATAAATTAAGACAGCTAAACTATTTCTGTTTAGTTTTACGTTAAATTTTGTACTATACATTTTAAGCGCGTGCGTATATATTTGTGTACTAAATAAGATTATTATATAATCTTTATATAATCAATATATTTTATATCTTTTTAATGCTTATATTAGTATAATATTTTTTATCATTATATGATTATACGGATTTGCTAAGATGCTTTGACGTTTCTAGTTATCTTCTAAAATCGCGGTATTATAAAATGTATAAATATTTCTTTTTCGCGATGGAAAGTAAAATAAGAAAAAAGTTGACAGTAATTGCTTTATTATTGCAAGATTGATATTGTAGCGCATGTGCAACTATGTATATTGTGCAATGTAAATTGAACGTTATATGATCAGGACGTGACTAGCGCGAGATTCTTTTTATTAACGTTCCCATCAAGATCCTATCAAGATTTTAACATTAATTACGCGATTGGCGCCAGATAAAATAATCCAGTGGAATATCGTTGTGGATTTCGTGGAAATCGCAGGCAACCGGTTGCGAGGAATGCATTTCCACCTACCGTGATTTCTCACCGTTTATGCACTGTTTACGGTAACCCGTCTACGTGGTCGTTAAACAGCGACCGCACCCGATGATTAAGATCATCGACGACCCGCGTGAATGATTACATGCAAAAATTAATTCACAACAGATACTTTGTTTATGCAATCAAAAATGATTGGAAACACGATTTAAAATATCTAATACCACTAGTCTCTAATAAAATTACAAAATCATTATTTAGGCTTGCATTAAAAAAGAAACATTTATGAAAAGCTACAAAAATTTTAACTATTGGAAACAAATGCAAATATTAAATCAATGGTATCAGGTTAAGCATTCGATTAGTCATCTGTGCCAAATGTCTGGGTGATTCCTGAGAAAAAGTCTTGAAGGATAATAGCTTATCATAAAACAAGACATAAAGACAAATGTCGTTATTAATGGTTATGACTATTGAATTTGCGAAAACCAATCGATTTGTTTTCTCTTCAGTATAATGTGCGTAAAATAAGGTATTAAAACACTTTATGTAACTAACCATGTATATATGCAAATTTTATGCTATATAATGATCTCCTTGATTCTTAAAAACTATACTTTTTGGACGACTTAACATATAATAAATCGCAATATTTTTACAATAATAAAGAATCATATGCAAGCTATTTTTATTTATTTAATTTATATTATATAT